ACAGCCTGGAACCTAACCCGCCGTATAAGTGGGGCCCTACTGTATATATAAAAATAAAATATATATATATATATATATATATATATTATATATATATATTTTTTTTTTTTCAACAAGTCGGTCGTCCCCACTGAGGCGGGGTTTGACCCAAAAAAGAAAGAAAACCCCCAAAAAGAAAATACTTTCATCATCATTCAACACTTTCCACCACACTCACACATTATCACTGCTTTTACAGAGGTGCTCAGAATACAACAGTTTAGAAGCATATACGTATAAAGATACACAACATATCCCTCCAAACTGCCAAACCCCAAACCACTCCTTTAAAGTGCAGGCATTGTATTTTCCCATTTCCAGGACCCCAAGTCCGTCTATATGAAAAACCGGTTTCCTGAATCCCTTCACTAAATATTACCCTGCTCACACTCCAACAGATCGTCAGGTCCCAAGTATCTTTTGTCCCCCATTCACTCCTATCTAACACGCTCATGCACGCTTGCTGGAAGTCCAAGCCCCTCGCCCCAAAACCTCCTTTACCCCCTCTTTCCAACCCTTTCGAGGACGACCCCTACCCCTCTTTCCTTCCCCTATAGATTTATATCCCTTTCCATGTCTTTTCTACTTTGATCCATTCTCTCTAAATGACCAAACCACCTCAACAACCCCTCTTCTGCCCTCTGACTAATGCTTTATTAACTCCACACCTTCTCCTAATTCCACACTCCGAATTTTCTGCATAAAAATTTTACACCACACATTGCCCTTAGACAGGACATCTCCACTGCCTCCAACCGTCTCCTCGCTGCTGCATTTACCACCCAACTTCACATCCATATAAGAGTGTTGGTACTACTATACTTTCATACATTCCCTTTCTTGCCTCCATAGATAACTTTTTAAACTCCACATAACCTCAAAGCACCACTCACCTTTTTTCCCTCATCAATTCTATGATTAACCTCATCCTTCATAAATCCATCCGCCGACACGTCAACTCCCAAGTATCTGAAAACATTCACTTCTTCCATACTCCTCCTCCCCAATTTGATATCCAATTTTTCTTTATCTAAATCATTTGATACCCTCATCACCTTACTCTTTTCTATGTTCACTTTCAACTTCACCTTTACACACATCTCAAACTCATCCACTAACCTTTGCAATTTTTCTTTAGAATCTCCCATAAGCACAGTATCATCAGCAAAAAGTAACTGTGTCAATATATATATATATATATATATATATTTTTTTTATTATCACACTGGCCGATTCCCACCAAGGCAGGGTGGCCCGAAAAATAAAAACTTTCACCATCATTCCCCCCATCACTGTCTTGCCAGAAGGGTGCTCTACACTACAGTTTTTAAACTGCAACATTAACACCCCTCCTTCAGAGTGCAGGCACTGTACTTCCCATCTCCAGGACTCAAGTCCGGCCTGCCGGTTTCCCTGAATCCCTTCATAAATGTTACTTTGCTCACACTCCAACAGCACGTCAAGTATTAAAAACCTTTTGGGCCCTCCATTCACTCCTATCAAACACGCTCATGCATCCCTGCTGGAAGTCCAAGCCCTCGCACACAAAACCTCCTTTACCCCCCCCCTCCAACCTTTCCAAGGCCGACCCCTACCCCGCCTTCCTTCCACACAGACTGATACACTTTTAAAGTCATTCGTTTCGCTCCATTCTCTCTACATGTCCGAACCACCTCAACAACCCTTCCTCAGCCCTCTGGACAACAGTTTTGGTAATCCCGCACCTCCTCCTAACTTCCAAACTACGAATTTCTCTGCATTATTTTCACACCACACATTTGCCCTCAGACATGACATCTCCACTACCTCTACCCTTCCCCTTTGCTGCAACATTCCATCACCCACGCTCACACCCATATAAGAGCGTTGGTAAAACTATACTCTCATACATTCCCCTCTTTGCCTCCAAGGACAAAGTTCTTTGTCTCCACAGACTCTTAAGTGCACCACTCACTTTTTTTCCCCTCATCAATTCTATGATTCACCTCATCTTTCATAGACCCATCCGCTGACACGTCCACTCCCAAATATCTGAATACGTTCACCTCCTCCATAACTCTCTCCCTCCAATCTGATATTCAATCTTTCATCACCTAATCTTTTTGTTATCCTCATAACCTTACTCTTTCCTGTAATTCACCTTTAATATATATATATATATATATAATATATATATATAATATAAAATATATGTATATGTATGTATGTATGTATGTATGTATATATGTATAATATATGTATATATGTCATGCCAAATAGGTAAAACTAGTTAACTGCCAAGAACTCATTTAAAATTAAGTCCTTTCTAAAATTTTCTCTTATATACATTTAAAGATATATTTTTCATTAATGTTGATGTAAAAATTAATAATTTTGTACCAAAAGAACCTTAGAAAACTTACCGAATCTTATTAAAACAAGTGCAATTTAATTTATCCTAATCCAATAAAATATATTTTATATAAGTTTACACTAATTTAGTATCTTCAAAATGGTATACACTACCGACAGGTTGGTAGGTAAGACACATAGGCAACAGTTAGGCAACTTTATTCCGAAACGTTTCGCCTACTGTGTAGTGAAACGTTTCGGAATAAAGTTGCCTAACTGTTGCTTATGTGTCTTACCTACCCACTAATTTAGTAATAAACAAACAATGAAATATATTTTTTTTCATTAGGGACAGAATGATTTTTGCAAAATTACTGCATGCAGAAATTTTTGTTGCCTTATTCGGCAAGAAGAGCATTGCTATTTAAGCCAAAATCTCAAGTTTTACCCATTTGGCACGACATTACCATGGTGGAAGTCATGGCTAACTTCGGTGTTAGTGTGTATGATGCCATTAAAGGCAACTTCAAGGTCTAAATATTTTATATGTATTGAATATAAAAATATAATTTAAATATGTACCAATGTCCTGTGGATAAACAATGTAATGAGAGTATTTCCACTAATGGGCTGATGTATAGGGGAACAACTTGTAAGCTCTTCTTGCCAAGTGGTTAGTGACAGTAAGTGGAAATTAAGAAATATAAAATTATGGTTCAGGCAAGATGCTTAGGTGCTGTTGATGGCCTCTGTATCCAAGGAATCTGAGCTACCCTTTCTTTCCTTTGATCAAAGATGATTATCTACCTTACCACAGGAGCTGTATGACCTTCATGAGTTCGGTTCTTCCCTTCAATTTAAACAAAAAAGGGGAAGAATAAGAGTAATGAATACTGCAAGTGTAGTTTACATGATGAATGATCTCATTAAGTGTTTCTTAATGACATTAATAAGTGTGTTTCTGAGTGAGATCATTAATGTGTTTCTGAGTGAGATCATTAATGTGTTTCTGAGTGAGATCATTAAGTGTGTTTCTGAGTGAGATCATTGAGTTTCTGAGATCATTAATTGTGCTTCTGAGATCATTAAATGTGTTTCTAAGATCACTGTGTTTCCGAGATCATTAAGTGTGTTTCTGAGATCACTGTGTTTCCGAGATCATTAAGTGTGTTTCTGAGTCAGATTATGTGGGGGAAAGGGGGGAGGGGGAAGAAAAGGTCAAAAAAAAAAAGGACAGGGTAAGAATCTTTTCCCAAAAAATTATTTATCCAGCACTGCAAGTGACTGAATTCTGAGTCACTTATAGCAACACCTTCTACTCCTCTTAAGTACAGCCTCTCCTCACTTAGTGACATACTCGTTTACCGACGACTCGGACTTACGACGGGTTCTCTGACTAGCATTCATACCTAAATAATGTATATTAGAGCTGATTTCCTCTATTCTGTTTATTACAATACAGAGTAAACTAGTGTATAAACATTTAAAAATATAGCAGAAATGTTATAAATGGTGCGTAAACTAGTGTATAAACATTTAAAAATATACCAGAAATGTTATAAATGGTGCAAAGGTGACATTAAAACAATATCAAAGATGGCTGACACAAACTCAATACCATTATAGTATGCTCCTCACTTTGTGACGAATTCGTTTACCGACGTGATCTTAGGAATGGAACTCCGTTGTTAAGTGAGGAAAGGCTGTATTTACTAAATTCAGTGAGTATCCTCTCGTCAGTGTTGTCAAGCAAGAAACCAAGGTAAGTTATAGATTATTTTTTATTGCTGGCTCGTCTGCCACTTTTAATAGATGGCAGACTAATTATTTAAGCAAATATTTGTATGCATAATATGCATAGCAAATATAAGACAATTATACAAATTATTTATTGATTTTTTTGTGACGCATTTTCGCTTTTTCCACACACAACTGTAATTATTTTATGTTTTGTCACTAATTGCAAAACTATGAATACTGGGAGCATTTTAGTATTTTCTAATAGATTTTAATACACTTAAATTTCAGCTCGAGATAATAAAAAGGGGGAAAGTTGCTTACACTTATGTAAAACATTTTTGGTTGTCAAAATACAAGTGATCAAGTGTATGTGTTGAGTCCTAGTAGAGAACTTGGCTCAAAATATATTAAAAAGTATGACAAAGGTATAGTGTTTGTGTTAATTCAGAAAACAATAGAAACAAGGCAAAAATGGAAGAGTATGAAAGAGGTTCTTAAGTCATAGTGCTATACAGTTGGATAATGCAAGTTGCAATGTACAGCTAGTTATTATGCAATACTGTAATAATAAATCTCTAGTGTTGTACATGTACACTGTGCTCAGAAAACATCAACTTAATGAACGTTCATCAATACTGCAGATCTGGCTAAATATTATTGAATTAGTATTATTTTTCCAAAACAAATTGGAAGATACTGTATTACAAAACATTAGGGTACTGTATAAAACATAGTTATACAAAGTTACAAACACTTATGTAGTATTATGTTTTCTTGCAAAGCATTTAAGTCTTATGGCAAACATTTAGGTCATATCTCAAAACATTTAGGCTATGGTTGGAGGCAGTTCCATGTGCTGGGTGATGACTAGTGGGTGGTGGCAGGCTGACCTGGGTTAACCACAGCCTCCTCCTCCTCCTCCTCATCCTCCCTCGCCTCTGCCTCCTCCGTAATCGGGGGACAGGCGGGAGGAGTGTCCACCTCCATGTTCGTGGAGGAAAGGGCCAGTCGCTGCATCTTGTGAACCAGCACGATTGCATGCATTAGTTGCTGCAAGAGACAAGTTACAGCCCTTTCAAAGTTTGCTCCTCACAAAGCCTTAAACCCTCTAGTAATGTCCTAGAGTTTCAAGAGACGAACATTAGTCCACTTGCTCAGACCTTGTTTCTTGAGTTTGTCCTGTGATATTCAAACCCAGGCATATGGAGCCCCTGTCATATCTGGAGATCTTAAGCAGTGCCATGAACCTTCTAATTAAGCAGTAGAGCATTTCTTGCATCAAACTCATACATCAAAAATTAAGTCAACACTGATCAAAATTACCAGCTGAAAAAAACAAAAATTACTTTGATATGAGCGACTGTGTGCAAATACTCTGTCCTCATCTTTACATGAACAGGAAAAGAAATCTGACTTATTTAAAATTTACATAATCTTATGCATAATAAATTCTTATTCTCATCACACTATAATAATGGATAAAGTGGAAACTTATTAAAAGTAACTATTATCACACATAACAGCATTATTTGGTAACTATTATCACATATAACAGCATCATTTGCATTTGGACTGATATAATTAACGAAAAATCAGATGTCTGGCAAGAGACAGAATATTAAAGATATGTAACCATTGTTTTAAATGAATAGAACGGCCCGTCTCAAACTTCCAGATAAAACTTCGGCTAATAATGATCACTACATAATATCTAAATTGTGTCTTTCATGATTACTGACTTCATTTCTGGGTAAAATATTTCAACTGACTCCTAGTAGGTCTTGCATCATCAAACTAGTTAAATTTTGATCAAGAAATTTTAATATTTGGGTTGATGTAATTTCTAGTTATTTATCCGACATTCATCCTAGACAGAATTGGATACTAAAGAAATTAATATGGTTTATGATGCAAAACTTAGGATTTCCCACCAGTCATTTTAGTTGACAATGATGCTCCTCTCCAGACAAATTGGACCTCCATAGACTTTTTTATATGAATAATATACAAAAGTTTATTTGCATTTTATATCCACACTTCCTCTGACATAATGAAAAGTGAATGCTTAAAATTTGGTATTGTGACTCAAAAAGGAGAGAGAAGATCAACAGATGGTATTTAATTATGCCTTTACAAGACTTTCCACCAGTATAAGAAATAAATGATCAACAAAGAAAAGTTACAAATATCTAGCAAAGCTATTTACATATTATTAGATGAGTTTTCTTAGCTTACTTAAAACAAACACACACACACACACACACACACACACGTATCGTTCAAGGCACTGTACACCATGTACATTAGGCCCATACTGGAGTATGCAGCACCAGTTTGGAACCTACACCTGGTCAAGCATGTCAAAAAATTAGAGAAAGTGCAAAGGTTTGCAACAAGGATAGTTCCAGAGCTAAGGGGAATGCCCTACGAAGAAAGGTTGAGGGAAATAAGCCTGACCACACTGGAGGACAGGAAGATTAGGGGAGACATGATAACGACATACAAAATACTGCATGGAATAGATAAGGTGGACAGAGATAGGATGTTCCACAGATGGGACACAGAAACAAGGAGCCACAGTTGGAAGATGAAGACTCAGATGAGTCAAAGGGATGTTAGGAAGTGTTTCTTCAGTCATAGAGTTGTCAGGAAGTGGAATAGTCTAGCAAGTGATGTAGTGGAGGCAGGAACCATACATAGCTTTAAGACGAGGTATGATAAAGCTTATGGAGCAGGGAGAGAGAGGACCTAGTAGCGATCAGGGAAGAGGCAGGGGCAGAAGCTGAGTTTTGACCCCTGCAACCACAAATAGGTGAGTACAAATAGGTGAGAACACAAAACCACATATAGGTCAGTACACAAAGACACACAAGTTGAAAATATTACCAGGAATAAATACTGAATTCGCTCAAATTGCATCAAACAACTTATTCCAAACAAAGGGTACAAAAACCTGTTGTTCTGGAGAGTGATGAAACAAGAAAGGACTTAGAATTATTACAGGAAACATGGCAGCTCAGAGACTTAATGAGATTCAATGAAGAGAAGTGAATATAAAAAGTTAGAGGAATGATCAAATGAATTTAGACGTCTATGAATTATTTACCTGGATCTTGACATTACACGAACGTAGCTTCAAGCTTTAATGACGAAGTTTTTTACTCCAAGGAAATAGAGTTGTACTCCCATTCCTCTTTAATATATGAAAGCTACAGAAATATCAACTGACAAACACATGCTAAATGTTACACATTACATTGGTATTGAGAAGAAATAGGACATGGAAGTGAGACCTCACACACTCATGAGCATCATCACGAAAAAAGAAAAAATGGATAAAACTCTTGAAGAGCAAAAGATTGCTAGATAAACAAGTATTTTTAAGAATGACATACCACACACAACAAGACTAATGTTACTCTAGTGTAATATAGAACCCAAGCATCAAGTACATTAGATAGCTCTAGAAACTTTACAGACTTGATACAAGGTGGTTGTTTTTTAGATAAATATCTTGAGCTATGGGAACAGACTACAGAAACATGAAGGAGCAGATAAGACATGGTTACAACATTGAAGACTGAATATTAAAATGGTATAAAATACTGACAGGTTGTTAGGTAAGACACATATGCAACAGTTAGGTATCTTATTTTGAAACGTTTTGCCTACACAGTAGGCTTCTTCAGTCGAGTACAGAAAAGTTGATAGAAGCAGAAGAGACGTAAAGACGATGTAATCAGTCCATCACCTTTGAGGTTTTGAGGTGGTCAGTCCCTCAGTCAGGAGAAGAGTATTGTTCCATAGTTTGAAACAATATGGAGTTGAAGTGACAGGATGGAGCCTTATATACCACCAGGAGGTGAGATGTCGGTCACTACTAGAGATAAGAATGTAGTCGTTGGGAGGTCACGTCCCTCTCAATTATTATTATAATCAAGGGGGAAGCACTAAACCCGGAGGATTATACAGCGCCTGGGGGGGGATGTGGAAGGCATTCAGGCTTAATTCAGGGAACTGGAGCACAGATCCAATTCCTTAAATCGAGAGCCCCTCACCAACATCAAGGAACCTTCCTTGAGGGGTACGTCCCTCTCAAATCCAGCCATTCTCACTAGTATAAGTTATCCAAGTTGTTTTCTGTTCTGTACCAAGATACCATTGTGTTGCAGTGTCTGACAGAGTGAATATTAACACTTTGACTGTCACAACCCCAAATCCTGAGGTGTCTCCTGGTGCCGCAAAATTAAAAAAAAAAAAAAATATTTTTTCTTATGAAATGATAGAGAATCTTTTCCCATTGTAATGACACCAAAAGAACAAAATTTGATGGAAAACTGACGGAATTACGCTCTTGCAAACTTAGCGACCTCAGCGATATTTATGAGTCGGCAATTTCGCCCACTTTGAGCCCTATTTTCGGCTAATTCCATTGTTCCAATCAACCAAACTCATAGCTATTTCTTTAGAACTCCATTTTTTTCTATCGATTGAGTACAAGAAACTGCCCATTTACCGATTTCAACTACCCAATAACGTGGTCAGAAATTTGCAATTTGGCCAATTTCACGAAAATTAAAAAGTATAACAATTTCAAAATAGGTCCAAAATGAACAATGCAGACATTCCTGGCTCTAAAATAACATTTTCTTTGTTCATTAGTCACGTCTCCAGGCCCTTCTGATATTACTCTTGCTTTCTATTTTGAGTTTTTATTCAAACAAAAAATAAAAGATTTACTGATACGCAGACTACTGCAATATTGTAATAATTGTATAAATAAATTCAACCCATTCATGACTGCATATTAGAATGGCTACTTGGACATTTATTGGAAAATGACATCATTTGTTGACTTTTGAACATCGGCAAAAATCAAACATTTCCCCTACTTTGAGCTCCATTTCAAGGTTCTTTTCATAGTAAAACCAATCAAAATCACCTCTATTTCTATAACATGTTTTCCATGCTATCAAATGAGACCAAGAAAACGAGAATACAACCATAAATACTACACGAAAATAGACCACAAAGTCAGCATTTTAATTAAAAAAAAGTCGGAGTTTTTTTTTCTCATTATGCACTGCATGCTGCAGGATTTTTTTTGTATGGTGCACACAGACCCAATCTCTCACATGTGGGCCTACCAACTTTCTCCTGCTTGATTTGAAGCCGCTAGAATTTATGAGTATATATACGTCGAAAACGGTGGCTCGTAAGACATATATATATATGACCAAAACAGTCAAAGGGTTAAAATGGTATAAAACACTGACAGGTTGTTAGGTAAGACACATATGCAACAGTTAGGTTATGTGTCTTACCTAACAACCTGTCGGTATTTCATACCATTTTAATATTCACTCTGTCAGACACTGCAACACAATCAAATCAAGTTTATTCTCTATAAGGATTACAATGCGAGGTTTACAGATTTTGGTTATTGTGTGGTTTACATGTAATAAAATACTAATTGCAGAGGGGGCCACTAGAACACCTAGCAAGGCTAGGCATTTCGGGCAAACTTAGATTAATTCTTAACCCTAAATTATTACAAATTATGGAGTAAGTTGACTAAATACTAAGTGACTAAATACTAGTTTGTGAGTTTAGCAATGTGAATGCTTTTGTTTTGGCACAATACATAGGTTCTATATTGGAGTATCACAGGCAAACTTGTAACTAGTTAGGAATCATTATTTTAAGATTAAGATACGTATTTCTGTGCTTATAGTCAAATGGGTGAGCGAGTGAGTGTAAGTGTGAACCACCAGGTGGTTTTTATGTAGTTAGTTGACGGGGTGTATTAGGGAGATAAGATGTTTTCTAACGGTAGTTTTGAAGGTGATGAATGTGTCTGCAGTTCTAGAGTTTTCAGGTAGGGTGTTCCAGATTTTAGGGCCTTTGACATACATTGAATTTTTGTATAGATTTAGTCGGACACGGGGAATGTCGTAGAGATGTTTGTGTCTGGTGTTATGCTTGTGGGTCCTGTCACAACTATCAAGAAAGCATTTTAGGTCAAGGTTAGTATTGGAATTTAAGGTCCT